GAACGGCACCGGAGTTGGTGAGGGCATGCATTGTTCTAAGAGAAATAGAGTGTGAAAACAAAATATGTGACCGGATGGTAGTGTAGTTTAAGCGGGAGAGTTAACCGGTGTTTACCGGTTACCGGTAGCTTCGGAAGAGGTGGGTTTGATGATGATGATTAATGATGTTGGGACTTGTGGGCAGAGGGGACACATGAGGAACTTTTTACAGGTTGCATTTCTGCTTTTTTAATTTTGTTATCATTATTACAAAGAGAGAAATTATACTAGTTTTTACAGGTATATTCAATGTGTGTTTGGAAAACATAAAAGTTGTTCATAAATTTTATTTATAAATGTATATAATATGCTTTGTGGTGCCAAGATTGCAGAATGTATGTATATGTATGGATACGACTTCCATTAACGGGAAATGAAGTTTTATTATGAATTCGGAACAAAGTGAGAATCAAACAAAGGATTGTTTAACGTAAAAGAAGAAAACTCTGCTCACACGACATAGACATAGATTGTACCATTTAGCTATTCGAAATAGCAGAGAAGTACTCTTTGCTGAGCTTAGGGTCGGGTTTCATCGACTTCTCCCCTGGTTTCCATCCAGCCGGGCAGACTTCATCGGGGTTTTCCTGGATGTACTGTAGTGCCTGCAACACCGAGAACGTATCAAGCAAACTGTAATCGGGTAAAGAAAAGTGCGGTTTTAAGTTTGTGGGTTATTTATACCTGGAGGGTTCTCATTGTCTCATCAACGCTTCGACCAATACCAAGATTGTTGATGGTAGAATGTTGAATCACTCCTTCCTTGTCTATTATGAAAAGACCTCTCAGTGCTATTCCCTGTTTATACAGAAACAAAGTTCTTGTCTTCATTATCCCAAAGACTTGGAAAGTTTAAAGGAAGCCAAGAAAGGTTAACAATTTACCTGATCATGGATGAGCACTCCGAAAGATTTTGAGATTGATTTAGTGACATCTGAGACAAGGGGATAGTTCAGATCACCAAGCCCTCCAGATTTCCTGTCTGTTTGAACCCACGCAAGGTGGGAGAACTATGTAGACAACAACACAAGAAGCAAGGATGAGTAAAGCAATTGCAAACAGATAAGAATACCACTGATGTTGGTTTGAATTTGGTGTTAAATTTTGTAACACCATTATATAACAAGGATGAGAAAACGAGTAAATATGATAGTAATTGTATAGTTACACTTACCACACTATCGACAGAGACACCTAATATTTCTGTGTTCAACTTCTCAAATTCTGAATGCCGGTCACTGAAGGCAGTAATCTCTAGAAGACAAGAAAAAAAAAAGAGAGAGAGAGAGATTAGGACGCAGGAACTTCGGATATTTAATTTCGATATACTTCTCGAGCAATCCTAACCTGTTGGGCAGACGAAAGTGAAGTCCAATGGGTAGAAAAAGAGAATCACGTACTTCTTCCCAATGTACTCAGATAGCTTAACCTGAAACCACAATTCATCAATTAACAATTAGTTTCGAGCACACATACGCACTCAATAAAACACACAAAAGACTACTCATTTTAGCTCCAAAGCTAAACTGATGTCTCAGATCCACTAGAAGCAGCAGATATGTTTAACACTTGTTGTAAGAAACTAGTCAAACCTTGATGAACTCTTGATCGAACACAGCCTCTGCCTCGAAATCAGGCGCCTTGTTTCCAACCAGTGGAAGCTCATCCTATAAACACAAAAGCAAAACTTGTTAACGCATCAAATCTAAGGAGCAAGATTAGTCCAAATTAATAATCAGAGAACTCATCGAACAGACATATCAGTCATCGAGTATAGCTTAAACATCACTCAATTTCACTGAACCAAAGAATTTCAAATCCTTTTTTCCCTAATTTTGAATTCATCACCACTAAGAAGTAAAACAACAAACCTAGAACAAATGTCACTCAAATTTCTGAAATTTCTCTATAATCAGCAGAAATACAGTCACAGAACCAATCAATCACTAATTTTCCCCAAAAAAAAAAAAAACCCTAAACCCTTAGAGCTTGCGAAGTCAACAATAAGCCAATGAATTCCAATTTCAATTAGACCGAACGAGAAAGCATCTACATTTCGATTACTTACAGCCTGAGCCTTAACAGCGAAGCTCCGGCGAGAACTGGTGCTGGTGGAGCTAAGGGAAGACCGTCGACCAAATCCAGACCGGAGAGAAGGAGATGCGGAAGGAGATGATGATAGGGTTCGAAGGAAAGAGACGGAAGGAGAGGAAAGCGAAGACTTGACAGGGAAAACCCTAGAGGAAGAGATGAGAGTAGTAGAAGAAGCTAGAGACGCCATTGACACACACACACACACTTTGTGATACTCAAGAGCGATAGAAACACTTATCTCTCTCTCGTCAATGGCCTCTCTTTTTTTGTAGTGGAACTATGAGGTGGAGATAAGCCCAAAAATCTCATACATCCAAAAACGACGTCGCATCACCAAAATCATCAAAAACGACGTCGGTTTGCTTGAAAGAGAAAAATATGATACTTGTTGGTCTTCTTCTACCTTCTTCGGTAACTCCGTCTCACCGGTGCTTTCTTCCTCCGATCGGTGGTTCGAATCTCCGAATTGTCTACTCCGACTGTTCTTACAGGTGTGCATTGTTGTGCTCTCTTCACATAGTTCACTGTGAAAAGCTTTGAGTGTCGCTCATTGAATCTCTCGATGTATTTTTTTTTTTGTTTTGGCTAGTTCTCGGAGAAGGTGTAGATTGAATCGCGTGAGTGCAGATATGGAGGAGAGTGAAAAGGAATTGATGAAAAAAGCTAAAAGACCTGTTGATTCCAGATTGTGCAGAGTTTCTGGGTATTGAATCTATTCTCTTTTTTCCTATATTTATATGAGATTTGTGGACTGGGTTTTGATTACAATTATGCTTTGTTTGGGGTTTGTGATCAAGTTCGATGACGGAGATAATGGAAATTCAAGCTGAGAATCCAACATTTCATGTATTGTTTATTCCGGGAAATCCAGGTTTCATTATATTATCATGCTTAAGGCAATGCATGTGTGTATCACCACATTTATACTAGATATGATAATACTATTGTGTTCGATGCATTGGCTTGTAAATTCTCAGGTGTTGTGTCGTTTTACAAGGACTTTTTGGAATCTTTAAACGAGTTTCTTGATGGAAATGCATCTATAATCGGTATGGCCGTTCGTACCACTCCATTTTCGAGTTTTGCTTTGTTTGATTTGGTTCTTCTGCTCTCTAATTTTGGAGTGGTTTGTTTTATTTGCTTAGCTATGGGGCAAATATCTCACACGACCAAGGTATACTATAACTTTGATACAGATTATACTGTTCATATCTTCTTAGTTTGTGTTCTCAACCGTGATAGTTTGATTCGTGCTTTCATGGTACTTGATGATTTACATTCTTCTGTTTCACTTTTAAGGACTGGGAGTCTGGGAGGCTATTTTCGATGCAAGAACAAATCGATCATAAGGTAATAAGGATTTGATATAATGTTCCTAATGAAGTTTGAAACTAAATCATTTTCCCTCAATCTAGCACCTTATTATTCTTGGAGCTATCTTCTTTGCCTGATTGTCCTGATCTTCGTTTACCCGCAAAGTTAGCATCTTAAACTGTTGGTTATCTTACAGATTGATTTTATCAAACAGGAGTTGGAGAGCGTGAAAGTTCCAATAATATTGGTAAGACTACTTGTGTCATGTATACAATGGCTTACAATGTTTTTCCATTAATTGGATGGATTTACA